TGAAAAAAAAGAAAGTAGAAAAAACTAACTGGAAGGAATACAAAAATGCAATGCAACGTGTCCAAAACGCATCCAAAATGTACTGGAACACACTAAAACATGCATGCCAAAAGGGCATGCAAAACGGATCAGGAACACATCTAGACTGTTTCTATAGTGTGAACTGGCCCTTAGGACTTGTTCACACCATTGGTGGTGCAGAAACGCATGCAAGAAACACACATTTTCCAGCACAGCAAAGAAATGCAATGCCCTTTGCAGATGTGCACAGTTAGGTGCAACACACTTTTAAAATAATATGCCTGCAGTATTTTTGCATGTTCCCACACATTAGGCAGGCCATTGAAATTAAGCAGCTGGGGAAAAAAAAAAAAAAAAAGTAAAAAATGCCCCATTCACACAGCTTTATTTATGAACAGTAGAGTTTTATCATTTAGATTTCACAGGAATATGGTTGGGATTATGTCCATTAATAATGTTTTTAGTGTATTTTTACCATAAATATAATTTGGATATTTTCTCTGGCGGTGGTGGGGGGCTGTCAGGTATGCTGTACGGGGCCCCATGATATCTAACAGTGGCCCTGGGTGTATGCTTGTGTCTGTGCCACCTGTATAGTTAGGAAGAACCTTGAACCTCTGCTATGTACCTCAATGGATCTAGGAATTGGACATGTTTTCAACGGAAAATACAATTATTAGTAATGTTTCCCCAGCAAATGAGGATCAGCTCCTTGGTGGAGAACAGCAATCTCGCCATGTCCAGATGTGGTCCGGAATTCCACAAAAGAACAATTCACAAAACTAAAAAAAATAGACTTGCAAATTACCACTAAACTCTCCTAACTACACTCCCATCCACTCACACTTCTGGGTGTGTGCAAACGTCCTTCCGCAAACATCATGACGTATTTCCGGTATGACAGCTGCTCTAGCTCCTCCTCCAACAGCCGTCTTGGCGTTTATTTTTGCACCATAGCAATTTTACATGCGGCTCCATTGTGTATATGACATTTGCAAATATATGTTTGCAGTTTCTATTGTGGATTTGGCATTGGTGAATGTATGCTTGCAGCTATACTGTGTATATGACATTGGCGAATATATATTTGCCAGTAAAGGCCCAAAGTCAACATAAATTGGGGGCCAATTTATTACTGTTAAGAGGATTGTAGAAAAATAGCTAGCTGCACATTGAACATGACCTATTCATTGGTACATAACATGGTCTTGTCATGCAATAGGGGGCTTTTGGTTTGTTATTTTGGACATACTTGCACATGTGCGCTCTAACAAGAAAGATTTGGGCATATTATATAGTTAGCAAAAATAAGTGTTAGGGCTGCTAGTACATTTCAGATACTTATATAGCGCTGTTAATTTACGCAGCGCTTTACATAGAGATGTGGTAAATTCACATCAGTCCCTAACCCTCAAGGGGCTCAAAGAGCCATAACTTACATTCATACATATACTAGGGCCAATTCTGACAGGATCCAATTAACCTACCAGCAGGTCTTTCGAGTGTGGAAGGAAACCGGGAGTACCGGGAGGAAACAGGCACAGGGAGAACATGCAACCTCCAGGCAGGAGGTGCCATGGCTGAGATTCAAACCAACAACCCCAGTACTGCCAGGTGGAAGTGCTAACCATTTAGCCACTGTGCAACATACAATTAGAACATGAAATAATTCCCCCAAAAAATACATAGTACAAATGTTTATTGATCAAATACACATTCCACATTTATTTGGACAGCAACAAAAAGCTACATTCAATATCTTGGTGTGGGAAGGGAAAAAAAAAAAGCAGGATTGATGTTGCTAGAATAGAACAGTCCTGCTCATAAGAGCTTACAATCTAAAAGATTATACTCATAATGAACTGTGCTTTCACAGGTTACAGCAGGAAACCAACGGTAATATCACTTGGGCTTATTCACAGCAGCTGCAGATCGAAATATCAATATAAAAATACATACATGCCAAAATATAAACACTTCCCCAAATCCCCCACACATACATTTCTCACCATGTTTGTCTGAAAACTGCATTTCATTCTAAATAAAGCAAACTTGGAAGAGCAGAGCAATGGACATGTGTTAGGATTACAATGCAAAGATAATAAACACACAATCATTGTACAATAACACACAAACACTTTAGATGGAAGAACATGCAATACATTTACAGCCCACATCAAAACACAGCGTGAGTGTGGCCTGGGGGAAATTCATTACAATATCTCTTCCTCCCCCAAACCACCACAGACAAGGACATGCAGAAATAATGTGCCTATACAAGGCAAAAATCAGCCCCAACTGCATCTCCTTATATAAGGTAGGCCACACCCACCACTGTCATTCATTTGGTTAGAGAAAGTGTTTGCACCTGAATCCTCTTCCCACCTGCGTTAACCCTTGGTATACAGGCCCCACAAATCAGAGTCAGAAAGAAAGCCAAAGTGAAGTGTACTTGTACAGCATACAACAGAACATTGAACAGGAATATGAAAGGGAACCCTATTGGCAATATTGCTTGGCCCTATGGGCACAATTCACTCCAGATTATCGCATGAGTTAAGGCAGTCACATGACCACATCTCGCATGCAATACTGAAAATGTCAATTCACTTTTGCTAGTATGCGGCAGTTCCCATAAATCGGAAAAACACTCAGGAAATCAAACATAAAAAGGCCTTACACCGCGGTCACATCAAAGCCGATTAGAAATTGTGCGAGGTACAGTGAAGATGCTGTTTTCCTTGCGATTTGCAAGACATCTGACACAGATATCTATGCAAATCGTCACAAAAGTAGTACATGTACTACTTTAGAAATCAGTGTCAGAAACGCACCCATGTGACTGCTCTAATAGCAGACAATAGGGTGCGACTTGGCATACAATTTGCAAGTCGCATGCCATGCAAATCGCATGCCAAGTCGCATCCAGGGTGCACAATTTCAGGTGCGATTTGGGAATTGAAATTGTACCTGATATCCGATCTAATGAATGTGGATGTGAGTGTCTTAACGTAAGCGATTTGCTGCAGCACAATTTCAAAAGTAGTTCTCGTCTAACTTTTTCAGCATTTTGTGGCGATTTCACATATAGACTACAATAGAAATCGCAATGCAAAACACAATTGAAAACGCAATAGCTCATTGGTAAATATACAGAAAACACGGTGAAATTTCTAACAAAAAGCACAATTTTAAATCACATTTAGTGTGAACCAAGCAGGCAATTCAACAAAGGAAATAAATTCTAGAAGGCATGTGGTATCTGCATGCTCAGATAAGGGTCTGTTATGGATTTGGCGGGGGGACGGGACTCCATGCCATTATTTATTTATTTTTTTAATCCATCTCTTTCGCTCACTCTTCTCATGGTTTAACAAACTTTCCCAAAGGATGTGGAGTGCAAACCAGCATTATCCAATCAATCATTAGTCCAGGCCCTTATCTCATCCCATGGTTTGACATTCACATAAGGTGCTACTTTAAAGGTGTTTGAACAGACAAGGCCTCATTCTAATTCACATTCTAGGGATCATTTAAACAGAAAGCAAAGATGCTGCCACCAGCACATGTATGTTAGGGTAGTCACACAGAGATCATGCAAATTCATTGCTGTGGTTGGGATTCAAACCAACAACCCTAGCGTTGTGAAACAGTAGTGCTAACCACTAATCCACGGAGCTGTTGAACACTAAACCTGCCTGTATTTCTGTGGTGTGAATCAATCCTAGGTCCCTGGGCAAGGTCAGTGTAACTAGCCAGATATCTCAAATGCGACACAAATGTTGTGCTATGTTGCCAATTCAGATGTATGTTGGTTCTATGTATCCCAATACAAAGGATTGCAATACTAATACAGGCGTACCTTGGTTTACCAACGCCTCGGTTAACGTAATTTTTGGTTTACGAATGAAAATCCATTGAAAATAATGCCTCGGTTTACACAATTGTTAATAATTTTTTTCGCAATACAAAGTGTATGTCGGCGCCGATTTTCAAATGCAAATGCCAGCTTTTTTTTTTTTCTTCACTATAGTTCACAAGCTTAGAAGTCACTTTCCCCAAAGTTACAGAAAACTTTGTATCTTTAAATAAACTCAAAGTAAACATTGTTTCCTTTAGGGACATAAATTCCAAGAAAACTTTCTCTTTTAGCTGGGGGAAGTGACAGGTGAATTTCTGAGCTATAGTGAAGAAAAAAAAAAAAAAAATTACATTTAAAAACCAGCACCATAATAAATAAAAAACGGCATGGGGTCCCCCCTCCCATCCACACCAAGCACTTCGGGTCTGGTATGGATATTAAGGGGTAACTCCATGCCGAAATTAAATAAAAAACAGCTTGGGGATCCCCCCAAAATCCATACCAGACCCTTATCCAAGCATGCAGCCCGGCAGGTCAGGAAGGGGGGGGGGGGGGGGACGAGTGAGCGCCCCCCCTCCTGAACCATACCAGGCCACATGCCCTCAACATGGGGGGGTGCTTTGGGGCAGGGGGCTCCCCCCCAAAGCACCCTGTCCCCATGTTAATGGGGACAAGGGCCTCTTCCGTTAGTGGGATAATTGGTCGGCCATTTTTTTGGGATTTTAGCATATTTTGTTTATCAGTAAAGTTGGAAATTTTTTTTTCCAAATTTACTGATAAAAAAAATTGCCAAAATCCCAAAAAACGGCTGACCAATTAACCCACTAACGGCCCGAGAAAATCGTTCGATTTTTTTTTTAGCAGATAAATCGTCCGATTTTAGACCCATCTATGGCCTGCTTTAGATGGGTCTAAAATCGTCCGAAAAAAAAAGAAGAATAAGAAATAAAGAAATAAGAAAAAGAAGAAAAAGAAAAATGCAGGCCATAGATGGGGCGAAAAAACTGACCGTTTAAAAAAAAAAAAACAACGAAAAATCGGTTGTTCAATGGACCGACGTTACCACCAATGGTAAAAAAATTGTCCGATTTTCGCCCCGTCTATGGCCAGCAAATATAATAGCGAAGTAATTACCTCTGTCCCTGCAGAGAGCTGCGCTATTATATTTGACATTAAAAAGTATAAAGGTTGCAACATTGTATCTATATGTATCCGAATAAAAACATCTATATCCGAAATGGACACAAATAGATACAATGTTGCAGTCTCTATACTTTTTAATGTCAAATATAATAGCGGAGCTCTCTGCAGGGACAGAAGGAATGTTTCAGCTGTCATCGGGTTTTTCACACCGACAGCTGAATTTGAAATTATTTCCGTGAATTAAATAAATAATAAAAAAAACTGTGTGGGGTCCCCCCTCTCATCCATACCAAGCCTTTCAGGTCTGGTATGGATATTAAGGGGGAACTCCACGCTGAAAATAAAAAAAAAAAAAAAAGCGTAGGTCCCCCTCAATATCCATACCAGACCCTTATCTGAGCATGCAGCCCGGCAGGTCAGGAAAGGGGGGGGGGGGGGGGGGGAAACGAGCGAGCGCCATACCAGGCCACATGCCCTCAACATGGGGGGGGGTGCTTTGGGGCAGGGGGGGCTCCCCCTCACCCCAAAGCACCTTGTCCCCATGTCGATGAGGACAAGGGACTCTTCCCCACAACCCTGGCCGGTGGTTGTGGGGGTCTGCGTGCGGGGGGCTTATCAGAATCTGGAAGCCCCCTTTAAACAAGGGGGCCCCCAGATCCCACACCCCCCCCCCCACGTGATTGAGTCTGCGGTACATGGTCCCGTGACTCATTCACCAAAAAAAAAAAGTGTGGTGTAAAAAAAAAAAAAAAACACACAGTACAGGGTCTTTGACAAGTCCTTTATTAAAACAATGTCCCCCGAAGTAGATCCAACGTCAATCACGTGAAACGTCAAAAAAAAAAGTTCCGCTCCTGTCGGAGGCTTCCAGCCTTGTGAAGAAAAGGCTAGCTGACATTTCTTATATAGGTATGGGGCGGGGCCAGCCGGGGACATCATCCCCGCCCCTTACCTATTTGAGAAATGTCACCCTGTCTCTCCACTGAGGCCAACTAGCTGAATGCAGGAGACAGTCTGACATTTCTTATATAGGTATGGGGCGGGGCCAGCCGGGAACAGCAAGCATGTGACATGGGGCGGGTCACTCGAATGATGTCCCCGGCTGGCCCCGCCCCATACCTATATAAGAAATGTCAGCTAGCCTTTTCTTCACAAGGCATGAAGCCTCAGACGGGAGCGGAACTTTTTTTTTTTTTTCTTTTTTCGGGTCGCCGCCGCCGCAATTGACATTGGATCTACTTCGGGGGACATTGTTTTAATAAAGGACTTGTCAAAAACCCTGTACTGTTTTTTTTTTTTACACACCACACTTTGTTTTTTTGTGAATCAGTCGCTGGACCATGTACCGCAGACTCATTCACGTGGGGGGGGGGGGCCGGGATCTTAAAGGGGATCTTCCAGATAATAAGCCCCCGCCCGCAGACCCCCACAACCACCGGCCAGGGTTGTGGGGAAGAGGCCCTTGTCCTCATTGACATGGGGACAAGGTGCTTTGGGGGGAGGGGGAGCCCCCCCTGCCCCAAATCACCCCCCCCCATGTTGAGGGCATGTGGCCTGGTATGGTTCAGGAGGGGGGGGCGCTCGCTCGCCCCCCCCCCCTTTCCTGACCTGCCGGGCTGCATGCTCGGATAAGGGTCTGGTATGGATATTGAGGGGGACCCACGCTGTTTTTTTTTTTTAAATTTCAGCGTGGAGTTCCCCCTTAATATCCATACCAGACCTGAAGGGCTTGGTAAGGATGAGAGGGGGGACCCACGCTGTTTTTTTTTTTTTTTTTTTTTTTATTGCGGACCTTTATTTTTACATTCAGCTGTCAAAATAAATATTATCTAGACCTTTGAAATAAGTAAAATCATTACAGAAATAATTATAAAGGATAAGAAACAAAAATAGAATCACTAGAACTAAGGAAATCTAGTTAGATTACATGAAGATATGCCGAGTGCTGTTTATTAAACACAGTAGACGCGACCGAGTGTCGGCTGTCAGAGGAATCCACACTGAGATTTACTATTGGGCAGTGGCTAAAAAGCAAACGCCCATTGCAGACACCTAAAATGTGTTCTGCACATGCGCATTTATATCGGCCAAAGACACTGCACGGGCGTCTAGATTCCGGGCGTGTCTTCTTGTAAATTCGATTGGGCATCTGCTTATAGGCGCTGCTCAATAGTAAATCTCGTTGCAGGGTAAAAAAAAAACGGTCGCCCATAAAAAAAAAAAAAAAAAAAAAACGCCCAAAGTAAATCAAAAAAATTAAAAAAAAAAAAAATATAATTATATAAAAAAAAGACATAAAAAAATAAAAATATCTGATTATATAGAAAAAAAAAAAAACATAAAAAAAATATTTAAAAAAAAAAATAAAAAAGAGAAAAATATTAAAAATTACTTACATCTTTTAAAAGAGACTTTAGTTACTAAAGTCTCTTTCTAAAAGATGCAGGAGATAAACAAAAAAAAATACAAAATGTTTACTACAGGTTTAAAGCTGTAAAACTTGATATTTTGATTGCACCCTATTGCTATTAAGCTATTGCTGTTATGGTTAAATTGACATAATAAAGCTATGTTATAATTGCAGTTTTTTTTTTTAAAGAAAAAGGTAATTTCATAAGCTTTAAGGGGGCTTAGTTGGGGGGTGGGCCAGGGGTGGGGTTGGAGGCGGACCTGGGCAAGGTTGGGTGGGGCAACTGGTGGAGAGCAAGGTTTGTGCCTGGCTAGTAGGTCTAGACTTGAAATTTTAAGCCCTGTATACCGTATTTACATGTTTTAAACTTTTTTTTTTTTTTTTTTAATTTCTTCAATTACTTCCTGGTTTCTGGCCTATGAACATTGTGTCATACATCCCAGGAGTCTTCAGGAGGGGTTTTCTTAGCTAAGCACACAGTCCTGCCCTGCATCTCTGAGCTAAAGGCAGATGGATTATAGGAAGTAAATGCTACATGAATTATCTGCCCTTACTCAAGACAGCCGCAGCCAGAAATGCTAGGGGGTGTTTCTCAAAGTGATTGCTCAACAAAATAAAGAATGGAGACATGGATAGATGGAGGAGTTTGCTTTGAATATTAAAAATGAATGAAATAGTGTTTTTGGTGCTCAGATGCAGTGTAGTTCTGTTATAATATTAAAAAGACATCAGAAGAGGTTCAGAGGTTCAAATGTCTTTAGGACCAGTTTTGGTTCACTGTGCTTTCATGTTTATAGTATAGAGTGGGGAAGAGAGAAGAAAGCAAAGGCGCTTTGGACCTAGGGAAAAAGTATCACGGTTTTCAAATCTGTTTGATAGCTACTACCTAAAACTCTCTTGGCTGGTAGAGTTTGGTATTACCCAATGACAGTTATTGCAAACATCCTTTCATGGCTATGGCTACTCTATTCATAGGCAGGCAGATAAATCAGAACAGGGAGCTATCCACTGGTAATCTGCATTGCCAAGACCAGATGGATAAAAGCATGCAGGCTTGTATATACTATCCTAAAGCTTTTCCTTACGTCCTTTGAGAAAATGTAGTGTTTAGCTGTGGGTGGGGTTAGTCCTGAATTCAGGAAATAAAGTGAAAGTACTCTAAGTTTGACCCCATGAACCATTAAAGTGTTACTAAACCCACTGCAGTAAAATCAGTCTGCATATGCAGTTAAGCATGCTTGTTGTACTCACTGAGGAAACAAAGGGGTTAATCCTCCATATTGTGTAAAAAGGCTGTTTGATCCTGTCTTCTCTGAACCTCCCCTTCCACTGTCTCCAATCCATCTGCTGATAGTACAGAGCTCCTGGAGTGACTCTGCACATGCTCAATTTACTGTTTATTGGTAGAGAGTTTTTTTTTTTCACTCTTTGGGAGGGTGAATGAAATCAGCACAGGGCCAATCAGCATTGTCCAGACAGAGAATCAAGGGTTATGCAGCCTCATAGGACAGTCAGAGCAGAATGAAAACTCCTCCTACAAGCTTTAACATGTGCTCAGTTAAACACTGATAGAAGTCACAAGACTGCTCTAACTGCTGATGAGAAAAGGTATTTAGCAGTTTATATTTACTACAACAAATATATTTCTATGTTTGTGTGTACTGTGGAAGACCAGATATAGTGAATGCAGGGACCTGGGTTTAGCAACACTTTAATAAATTGAACGAACATTCTTAAAATGAAAAATTTAGAACAAAATTCTGATAAACTATGGCCAGCTTAGGACAGGCACACAGAGAGGCATTTTATGTCTAATAACTACTACTCTTGTAGGTTCTGTTTTAAAGCTGGCTATACATGGATTGAAATTCAGCCAGTTCAACAGGGATCGGACAAATTTCAATCCATGTATGGCCTCTGTGAATGAACAGAAGTCTACCTACAACAGCCCTATCAGATTTTTCCTGTTCGATCAGTGTTGCAAGCTACAGCTGGCAATACAAATCAGTGTATTCTGACGGCAGGGAAGTCTCCCCACTCTCAGAGTACAAGAGTTCAGCAGGGAGGATTCCCCCATACACCTCGAATGTGTGGATGGGGGAATTCAGCCAGTTTTTTTCTGATCAATCCAGTAATCAAATTATAAAAAAAAATGAAATAATCTATGGGCTGCCTTAGGCAGGATTTTAGTATATAAATGTTTAAAATAGTTGACCGTTTAACTTGTTTTTAAAAGGTGCAATATCCAGGGCTGTATCAGATGAGGAACAAGCCAGCTAGCTGTGAAGTATGAGACCTGCAGTCCTGCATAATGGTTCCAGCTCAATGACCTGATATGTAGTATGGCCAAAACCAAGGAGACAGCTCTGCAGGCTGTACGTGCAACAGGCTAGCAAAACCATAATTTATAAATTACTATCTTCACCTGGCTGTTATTAAACGTAATGCTTTTACTTGATAAAACTTGCAATTCAATACCTTTGTACATGAAGTTATAGTTAAATCAAATGTATTACTATTGATTATTCAATCAAAAACGAATATGTTGGAATTGTAATAGTTCAATGCAAACTATACAGTATATACCCCTGGTCAGATAAAGCAAACCCAAAAATAGAAATGTATTATATTGCAGCTTACTAGTCATTTGACTCTTATTTAGGCTTTGTTTCTCTTTTTTTTAACTTGGTGATCCTATCCTAGGGTGACTTAGGGCCCATTCACATGAACCTTATCCACAGCAATGCATTCAATATGTGCTGATCCGCTGTTTGACATACAGTATAACTATTTTACAAAACAATTTGTGGTATCTTTGTATCTTTGGGGAGTATTTATAGAAAATGATCTTCTCTCTGCAGCAGAATACCAGTGTGTACAAGAATAGAGGGATTGCAATGTAGATTTACCCATACAGTATAAAAAGAACATAGTGGCATAAAGCAGTTTAACATAAAGTCAGTATCCCAGAAGTCACTTTCGCTACACCCTAGCAAAAGAAACAGCCTTTAAGAACAGTAATGACTGCCTTGCTGCCTCGGCCTCACACAGTGTACATGCACAAGATGGGAGACATTGTGCGGTTAGGCAGTTCACACATTAGCTGACAAAAGTTTGGCCAACTCTGTCCCTCTAATTGCTCTAGCGGTGGCAGTTTTCATAAAGGACCTTTTTAAGCTACTTACAGATATGTGATGAAATTTGCTTAATTTGCTTTTTGAACATTGGATTGGGGGATCAAGTCATCCAAAAGGTTAAAACAACCTATTCTGACTACAGCTTTCAGAGCACTCCTTCCCTGAACTCTCACCCCTATCCATTGATATAAATTTGTAAACTTTACCAAGATGAGTTCATACTGTATGTTAGAGGAGTGCTTCAACTTTTTAAAATATTTCACTTACAGTATACTTTATGGTTAACGCACTGATAAAAATGATGCAACAAAAAGTAGCAATATATAATTAAAAAAAATAAATAAATGCTTGCATTCTTACTCCAGGAGCAGAGAACTTATCAACATGGAATGGTCCAAGCTGGAAGGTGCAATATCTAAGGAAGACGTTAAATGCAGGACCTGAAATATCATAGCAAAAGAAACAGTGTGAAAATACTTTGAACGGACATGACCAAACATTTGCTAACTTAATATATTATTCAAAGTTGCTGTAGAGAAACAGCATGTAAAAAAGCAGAGTTTTATTCCTGCAGATAATATACTGAAGATCCTGGTAGAAAAAAAACGAAACAAAAAACAAACAACAACCGTCATTCACTTGGATTTCAACCAGCTGAAAGAATATTGTTCAACGGAGAGAACCATGCAGCTACTGAAAAGCAGTAATTCAACAGCCATATTGTCACCTAGGGGTTTATTTACTAAAGCTGGAGAGTCCAAAATCAGACTCCCTTCTGCATGGAAACCAATCAAATTCTAACCTCAGCTTGTTCATTGAAGCTTTGGCAAGGAAACCTGGAAGCTGATTGGTTTCTATGCAGAAGGGAGTCTGATTTTGGACTCTCCAGCTTTAGTAAATAAACCCCCTAATGTCTAACCACACAGTTTACACCTGTCTCGGGAGGCTGTTTATTGTCACAGGGGGGACCCTGCAGCTGTATAAAAATATTAACATTTTAAATGCTTTGTTTTTGCATGCAATAAAATTATTTATCCAGTAATTACAGACAACATATGAAATCCATTAGTGAGCTACTAATGCATTCCAGTACACTCCAGCAATTCCAAAACAAAACATTTCACTCAATATATATTAATATGCATGCATCCACAGCGCACATACAGTACCACCTTGCAAATTAAAGGTTTGCACTGTTTTATATTTGAATACTTTTATTTATCAAAAGAAACGTACAGATCAACAAGACCCACGAATGTGGACGTAAAAAATTCCAAACAATAAGCAGTTGCGAAAATAAATTACACGATCATGAGATACAGGGATGAAAAAAAAAAAATCAGACTGAGCAACTAAATACTAGACCTAACAATCCCTCCGCTGCAGTCTACAGACCAAGAGGATAAATCGCAACAGTGAACAGGAATCTGGTATATAGTGCTCTTTGAGAAGCAGAGAACTATTAGGCATATTCAACCTGTAGTCAGACACCAGAATATACTACAGCAGAGTGGTATGTCGGAATCAAAAGATGTAGAAAAAAAAATAATGAAGAAGAAAAAGGAAGAGGGAGAGCATAAGAGGAAGAGTAAAGTAAAGGATGGTCAGCCATGAACCCATTAAGGGATGAAGAGGTATCAAATCCATGGATCCAAAGTACTGTCGAATTTTGAGGCATTATTATTAAGAATACAAGTGAGCTTGTCGTTAATCTTGATCCAATTAAGTTTATTTTTGATATAATCAAGAGGTATCACCAATCGCTTCCAATATTTAGCCATCTTAATTCTTGAAGCCAGGAGAATGTAAAGAATCAGTTTGACCAATTTCTTGGGGATACCTGAGGGCAATTTCTGAATAAGGGCCACCTCTGGCCCTTACTCCTGTTACTGAGTAAAGAAGATTGAATATGGGGATCCAAAATCTAGTTACCACAGGACATTGCCACCAAGAATGACACATAGTGCCCTCCCGCCTACAGTGCCGAAAACAGGAAGGTGACGTGGTAGAGTATATTTTAGCAAGGCATTGAGGGACCAGATACCAACATAGGAGCGTTTTATAATTAGATTCCATAAGTGTTGTATTAACAGAAATTTTGGACAAAGCGTAAGCCGTATCCTGCCAATCACTTAGTTCTAGGAAAGATATTTAAATCCCTTTCCCACTGAATCATGTAAAGAAGCTTAGATTTTGGATCAATAAGTGAGGTATATATAGTAGATAAGCGACCTTTCAACATACCAGAAGCTCAACAAGAAACTTCGAGAGAGATAAGTGTTAAGAGTTCCGTCAATAATTTAAGTTTGGATTGGATAAAGGACACAATTTGATTATATTGAAAGATTTCACTAAGAGGTAATTGGTGCTTATCTCAAAAATATTGAGAAAAGTATGGGCGATCCCCATCTAAATAATTCCCAATACATAGAAAGCCCGTATTGATCCACCACTGAAATAAAGATGGCACAAGCCCAGGTACAAATTCAGGATTACAAAAAACTGGAGCTAAGGGGGTATGGGGGGGGGGGGGGGGGGGATAAGGATTTATGGATGCGCAGCCTATACCATACTGCTAAAAAAATATGACAATGTAGGGCATAAAATGGGAGGACGCAATAAATTGGGAAGCCACATAAGAGAGCCAATAGTAAGAGAGTTGCATTATCTGGGCCACATGAAAATAGGCCAAGAGGTTGGGAAGTCCCAAACCGCCATGTTTTTTCTGGAAATACAGAGTTGAATTATGAATCCGGGGGTGTTTATTACCCCGCACAAATCGAGAGATTTCTGATTGTAAGCGCAATATTTTTCTACCTGGGGACCGTAATTGGTAATGCCCAGCTACGCAGATCTTCCTTGAGTCGTTTTAAAAAGCGGGGGATAATTGGCATGATATAATGTCGTAATAGAGTGTGTAAGATAGATCCCTAGATCAGGAAGAAAGCGGGTAGCCCACTGAAAATCAAAGTTGTCCCGAAGGTTCTGTACCTCCGAACAGGATAAAGTAATATTGAGAGCAGTTTTAGAAGAAAAAAGTAAGTCCCGGGAGAAAATTGATGAAGTAAAGTCAACAAAATTGGGCAAAGACGTTTGGGGGTTGGAAACACACATAAGAACACCATCAGCAAACAGGGCACATTTGTACTCTTGTCGGCCACATTGGATACCCGTGATATCAGGGTGGAAATGAATAGCAAGGGGTTCTATTGGCAGCGCAAAAAGTAAGGGGGAGAGTGGAAAACTTGTCTAGTACCCAATCTGATAAGAAGAGGAGACAATTTATACCTGCGAATAAAAACCTAAGCCGAGGGATTACAATATAAAGCTCGTAAAAGGGAAATAAATGTGGAGCCAAAACCCAAAAGGCGCCCAACGTTTGAAATAAGTAATCCCATGTCAAACTATCAAACACCTTGTGAAGATCCAGAGATAGCAGCATTATTACCCTTGGTAGGGAATTATCCCAGTTAGATTTCACTGCAGATATTAATGCTAAAGTTTGAGGGATCTGGTCAAGTGTTTGACATCCTCGAATAAACCCCGATTGGTCATCATGAATGTAGTTTGCCAGAAACGTATTGAGGTGCAAGGCCAAAACCTTAGTAAATAACTTTAGGTCGCAACTGATAAAAAAATAGGGCGGCAGTGGTATCATTGTTAGGCTTCGGAATTACACGAATATATGCTCTATTCTCATCAGGTGGCACTACACCCCCATTCCGTACATGATTGAAGTAAAGAGCCACATGTGGAACCAAAAGATCTGAAAAGGTTTTATAAGTATGAGGAAGCCAATCAGGTCCTGGTGATTTATGGAGAGCTAAAGTTTTAACAGCTTTCTGGATTTCCTCACAACTGTTAGGTTGGTCCATTTGGTCTCTATGAGCCTCCTGGAGGGATGGAAGAGTCAAAGATGTAAAAAATGATTAATAGACGGGGAGGCTTTGTCAGGTTTGCACTGTTTTACCTTGCCTTTCTGCTCTCTGCAACTCCAAATCACATTCAAAGGGCAGGATAGAATATCATGGGTTGACCCCCTCGTGTTTTGTTTTATTACTGTATTGTCTCATGTTCTGTCCCCCACTATAATGTACAGCGATGAGCAAACCTTTTAGCGCTATATAAATACTGTATAATAATATAATAATAATAAATTATGGGTTGCTGGGAGAAACATTTTGACACTACCATTCATTTTCCATAAGGAAAGAGGGTGTTCCAGCATCACAAGCAGCACCAGCTGTATAAAAAATATCTTATTTTAGTGAAGCTTTGGGGAAAATTAGTGCAATTGCACAGTCTATTTGCCTTCAGTAAACCTCGCAGATGCAGAAATCAAACTATCCTTTAAGACTACTTGAGATAGCAGATATGGCCCCTTGGGAGGAGGCCAGGGATCGTCTTCTAGAAGTTTGAGTAAGTCTGTGTGCCAGGTTCTTCTGAGCCAGTTCGATGCAAGTAGAATCACCATTTTCCCTCTTGCTCTATTTTGTAGATCAGTTGAGTCAGAATTCGTAGTGGAGGGAAGGCATAAATTAGCCTGAACTGAGACCAGGGGATAATTAGAACACCCAAGGTCAGAGATAGAGGTCCCTGGTTCTGGCAACAAACATAGATAGCTTGTTGTTGTATTTGGAGGCTAGGATGTCCACATCTGGAGTCCCCCATCTTTGGCATATTAGATTGAGATAATTCGCCCACCAGTTGTCCACTCCTGGGATGTGGACTGCAGAAATCGCTGGGCAATTAATTTCTGTCCATGAGAGAATCTGGTTGGTTTCCTTTAAGGCAACTAGGCTCCTCCTGCCCTCTTAATGGTTGATATATGCAATTGGGGTGGCATTGTCTGACTACATCAAAATTTGGGGGATCCAGTGCTAGAGGGACAATTTGATTGCTTGGAGCTCCAAAATGCTGATGTGGAGTTTTGTTGCCTCTCTTGATTATGTTCCCTGAGCCATCAAGGATTGGAAGACTTCTCCTTAGCCTGGCAGACTTGTGTTTGTTGTAAGAACTTTCTAACTTAGGGAATGAAAGATTTTCCCAAAGTTGCAGCTGAAGTGGTGACCCACCAGGACAATGAAGAGCTTTTTGGGCTGGATAGGAGCATGGGTAAGTACAAGGAAAGATCCTGCTTATTCTATGCTTACGAAATGCTTAATTGGAGCATTCTTCAGTGGAATTGGGTAAATGGAACTGCCTTGAATGAGGCAACCATTAGACCAAGAACTCTCACGGCAAATGTCATTGTGGGATTTCTCTTGAATCTCAGTTGTCGAGCACAAGTTCTTAGTGAAGAGCATTTGTTGAAAACTGATCACTCGGTTAAAAGACCTTGATCACCTCAATGGTCTCTTAGACATTTGCTGAGATGGAAGGGGCAATGGATCCTTCAGAGGAAGGTCTTCTAGAGTGCAGTGCGCAGAAGTCGCCAACTGTCTGCATAGTCAATAGCTAAAAAGCTCCAAACTTCATATGGCCTTTAGATTAGCACAACAGTGCATAGAGAGCTTCATGGAATGGGTTTACATAGCTGAGTAGCTGCATCCAATCCTTACATCAAGTGCAATGCAAAGCATCGGATGCAGTATCTCTGGAGTGATGAATCATGCTTCTCTGTCTGGCAATCCGATGGACCTGCGTGGGTTTGGCGGTTGCCAGGAGAACGGTACTTGCCTGACTGCATTGTCCCAAGTATGAAGTTTGGTGGAGGGGGGGGGGATTAGGGTGTGGGGTTGTTTTTCATGGGTTGGGCTTGGCCCCTTGGGTTCCAGTGAAGGGAACTCTTCAGGTGTCAGCATATCAAGACATTCTGGACCATTTCAAGCTCTCCCAATTTTGTGGGAACAGTTTGGGGATGGCCCCTTCCTGTTCCAACATGAATGCGAACCAGTGCACAAAGCAAGGTCTATAATGACATGGATGAGCGAGTTTGGGGTGGAGGAACTTGACTGGCCTTTACAGAGTCCTGAACTTAACCCGATGAATTAGAGTGAAGACTGCGTGCCAGGCCTTCTCGTCCGACATCAGTGCCTGACCTCACAAATGCTCTTCAGGAAGAATGGTCAAACATTCCCATAGACACACTCCTAAACCTTGTGGACAGCCTTCCCAAAAGAGTTGAAGCCGTTATAGCTACAAAGGGTGGGCCAACTCAATAGCAAACCCCACGGACTAAGAGTGGGATGTCATTAAAGTTCATGTGCATGTAAAGGCAGGCATCCTAATACTTTTGGCAATATAGTTTAGATGCAGAAAATTTTGCTTTTGTCATGTAGGCCACATGTTGCATCCTGAAATAGAACTAGAATCAGATGCTGAGAGCAGTGTGAGGGATCGTCACTCTGTAGTTGAGTTTTGTGCAGGCCTTCAGCACAGCAAATGTTATGCTGTTGTTTTGAATAGGCTCCTTTTTGCCTGGTCTCCACCATAGCCACAAGTGAATGTATTCCCCTGTGGACTACTCACGGAGTAGAGTGTAAGAGATATGGTAAGCACACCTGGAAGTACATGATAACCCAGGTGTAGATAGTACATTATAAAGGCTGTAGGTAGAAGTGGCATTAAAGTGTGTGACCAATAGCATGATGTAACACCTGGTAATCCACCTGAGACCGAGCTCTGAGTAGTTGAATTTTAGTGCCGAATTTGAAAAGTTTGCACTGTGGTGTGAATACATTGCACACATTGCCCCAATTTTTGCAGTAGTGGTCAGAGATACGGGAAACCCTGTCTAACCTGTCCACAACACTGGACTGCATCTAAAGTCCAGACTTTGCCCCTCACGGTGGGCATACCCCCAAAGGGGTCTTTCAGGACTGGGTTCTATAGTGAGGAACCACAGCCCCGGACCCATATAACACCTTGTGCTTCACACAGGATCCAGTGCCCAGGGTCCAGTTCCCAAGGTTTTACCACGGTCACATTGATCTTGATACATTGTTTCTGAGTAGGCATTAGAAGACAGTAAAGGTTCATTAAAGAATTCTAATAAAATAACAAATTAAAAATAACAAAACAGCAAAGCTGAATCTGTGTTATTTAGAGAGATGCGCCAGGGGGTGTGTCCTCAAAAACTTGCCAGTTTTCAATCACCTAAAGGGATGAGCCTATAATCCATGGTGTATGAATAAATTGCCTGTGTCCTGTACTGTACGATAAAGATATTGAGGTTTTTTTGTTTGTGTTTTCTAGGTCCTTTGCTTTCAGTAAATATACAGCTTTGAAAAGTGCTATGTGTGAAATATGGAGAAATGATCTGGCAGAAAAAGGGTTAAAGATTAATTTCAACTTTTTTTTTATAAAGTGCAAAGTGTTAGAAGTGAGGGGAAGTCTCAACAGGACCAAGAAACCAATAGAAACTTAACCAGACCTCTAATACATCTCCATGGCAAAACAAAAAACTTTGGACTGGAAGTCCACTTTAGTTTAGTTAATTGATCACATTAAAGTAGATGGTTCAAGTGCTGGGACAGCACTGCAAAACTGAGGCATTTTCAGCCACTCTTTTACATTTTCATGGGCAGCTCCTTTTTCATTTTGCTTTACTTTTCTTCATTTTTTAAATATTTTACAATGAACTTCCAATGCTAGCTTCCTTTATTTCTTAAAATTTTCTCATAAGAAACACAACTCACCTATCAAAAGACCAGCTTGTCTGCATGCCATTGCCATGGCAAAGACTGGAACACGATCTTTGGAACTAGAATGCCGAGTCAGATAGCCAAATATTGAAGCCCCAGCTCCTGCACCAATACCTAAATAGAGGGAAAATAAGTTTGTACCTTCAAACCAAATAAAGATGGAAATACTCTACGGGGTTAATTTACTAAAAGAGAAGTGAAGTTCACTATGTGAAATAAATGCTCACCTAGCTTAGCAAAGAAGGTGTAGCGTTGTGCACTTTGGGATTCGTTTACAAATGGTAAGCAAAGCTCACTAAACACAAGGGACCTTTTAATACAGATGTTCAAAAGCACATTATGGCAGCCACCAGTGTTGTATATACACACATACATACTGTACACAACCAGTAAATATGAAGAAAAATTAACTGTGTTAGTGTAGTTTGTAGTTTTCTAATGTGTACAATATCAATGAATTTGTATTAGAATTATGTGAAAAAATTAAATATGACCACGCATGAAATCGATTACCTAAAAAGTGAGAGTATTAAGGTCCAAATCAAGAAGGACATATTTTGCTCATCCCTGGAAACCCAGTTGATATTAGCAGTCCAATAAAAGAAGAGCAAAAAAAAGAAAATGCCACTTTATCATGATCCAAGTTGTCTGGCTATCTCCGAGTCACCAATTTGGACACTTTTTCCAAGTAGTAATGTAGAAATTACTGGAACAACATGACAGCCAGGCTGTTATTAACAAGTGGGGTAAGCAATAGCAGCCCCCATATTTCCCAGTACAGGTTTCCTATATGTACATGGATGAACGGGCCTGCAGGCCACAAAGTTGAACAGTGGAGACACATACAGGCAATGAGTTTGGCATCAAAGGGCTACCTACTAAAAAGGACATTACCTGCCACCAACCGACTAGCCAGGAGAAACCACTTGGAGATTCCAACAAAGTACATAAAATTACCTATTGAAATAAAATAAATGGGGGACAGTTTGTGTATGTCAACACATAACAGACACAGAAAATAAGAATAGTTTACTACATTTCACCAACGGATAGATCATAAAATACGAAATAACAACAGTACTTTTGATACACACTAGCTTTTTTAATATATCTGGATTAATCAAGCAAATCTCCATGTAATCTTCCAGCTTTTTTCCTTCACCTGCTGTCCTCTGAGAACCGATATCAGTAACTTTTGCAAAAACCGTCTCTAAAATATCGTGGCAGTCCTGTTTTCCTGATTACTTTTGCAAAAATATCGTGGCAGTCCTGTTTTCCTGATTACTTTTGCTGTGTAAAAACAGTCTCTAAAAAATTCATAAAGAATGTCGTAGACACTCATTAGAAATCTGTCCCTCGTGTGTGCAACAAATGGTGCAACTTGTGACAGTTTCATGTAAATGTTGATGAGGTGCATATGCATCTGATGCAGAATTATGCTTCAGACGTTATTTTGTTACTTACACATGTGACAATTTACTGCAACATGGAAGAGTTCCTATTTACTTCCAGTTTTCTTATCAATACAGTAGTATTTCTTAATGAATTTGTCACAGCCATAGAGACAGAAAGTAAAAGCGTCACATGAGAACTTCCTAAATTTGTCACACGTCGAAAATAGCATAAAACCGGTTGTGCGGCTTTTGCGAATTTGGTGCAGAACTTACTAAAACAGCAATAATCCCAGGGAAGCAAATACTGTGGTCATTCACTTCCAGAGCCACTACATATGCTATTATATCAAAGAAAACCTCTCAAGAATTCCTTCAAATGTTCCTTAAAGGATATGTTCACCTTTGGGAACATGTTACATTTTCCACCTTTTTTTAGAGTGGAACATGTAACATGTTCCCATACTTGGAGCCGTGCCCGCCACCCCCCCTCCCTCTGACAGATAGTACGGGGAGACCTTTTCAGATTCAGATTTGAAAACAGGGCAGCCGTGTGGGGCTTCCATGAATTGCTGAACTGCAAGTCCTGGCAATCTTAGCAGCTGTTGGCTTGTAGTTTTCAATGAACTACCACATCGCTTTGCAGTGCCGTGGTAGATCAATCAAGCTTCCTGTCAGAATATCTGCTTGCTCGTACATCCCGTTTGGCAAGCGGATATTCTGACAGGTCTGCATGAGACCTGCATGGCATTAGCAATCTACTGATCGCTGGTGCAATGCTTTCCAGGCTCATTTGGCCAAAAATAATAACTGCACATTTTTATACCTGCAAAAAAATGTGCATTTATTATTTTTGTCCAAAAGGTGAATTATCCTTTAAGGGTGTCCATACACAGTACAATCGCTGTACAATTTCCAATAAATTTACCAAAACTATGTAATGTAAAGACATACCAAAAAATCCATTCAGTTTGTATCCAATATGCAGGTGCTTACATTACATAGTTGCCCAATCAAATTACACAGCCCAAGGTCAGCTTTAGCTGTTATACTGTACACTGTATGTGCGTAGATGAGCCAGAACATTTCAAGGTATGCAAGGATTAGCTCTCTTTTTAATGACAGAAAACATTTTGTTCTCTTCTTTTCCAACAAATAGCACCTCTTTGTACTGTATATACTTTTTGATACCTTGTTGATAGCATTTACTGTTACAAGTAAAAAAAAAAAAACATATATAGCTGCATCTGCTGATCATTCAGGTTCAACAAACAACACAGAATTTCATTTTTAGCGCTAAAGTAATACATACATTTACTTCCATGTTAGTCGTTGACTTAAATTGTTCCTATGGTGAAAAAACAAATGCTTCCTCATCCCAAAAACCCTATTCCAAATAAATGATGTTTTTTTTTAAAAACGAGCCTACAATACTAACGTTTGCTGCTCTGAGCACTCATAAGGGTCAATCATGCTACCATATGCCTAGGACAATATTACTACACTAGGCACTTGGCCTAGTAATTTCAGCTGAAAGGACTGATGTTTCGACAGCACCATCCAACTGGAGATTTTGTCTGAACTGTGACCCTGGCCTTCAGCCAAGATCATGTGACCAAAATCCTAGGCATTGGATTAAACCAGTAATAAAACCCAAACCAAAATATATTATATTGCAGCTTAGCAATCATTTTTATATGGTGGCTGCATTAGTTTTATTCTCTTTGGCTTTTCCCTCTGTTTTCACCTGGTGATCTGGCCAGTAACACACCTCCTGTATTCGTGAGACACAACTCTAGAGGAATGAGCACAGAAGGCACAGCAGGCAGCAGCATTGTCAGTCACGGGTGGGCTAGTGTTAAATGTATTAGCAGATTTAAATACACTAAAACTGATTCCAAACTCCAGCCCACACTTTATAATGAGTTTACAACAAACAGTTTTTTTTCCTTTTGGGATAAAAGTTTTACATGAATAAAAGTTCATTATTTAATCAGCCCTGACAGTGTTAAGTGGTTTGTCTCATTCATGTAAACGGATACATTCTGCTGGAGAGCTTCTGAAAAACAGCAGACTTGTTGGCTGGATCATCAGAGGAAAATAGAAGAAAGCCTAAAAAATGGAAATGAATACAGCCATAACATCTAAAAATCAGTAAGCTGCAATAAAGCAACTTTTCTTTTGGGTTTAATACCGCTTTAAGATTAACTAACCATATCGTTTAACACATAAGCTGTATAAGAAATGTAACCTTATTCTTTATAGTTCAGTCTGTTTAATAACATTTTCCAGCTGTACAAATCATATGTTCCATAAATGTCATGGGTACAAAGAGAACAAAGAACATATAATTGAACAAAAACTAACATCTCCTATAGTGGTGCACCAAAATGAAAATTCTGGTGCCAAAAACAAAAATTCAAAATGCACTTGGCTGAAAATCAAAACCAAAACTGAAATGCACAGTTTTTAAAATTGAATATTAAAAAAAAAAACAATATATACCCCAATTTTTTGTAAAATATGAAAGAGGATGTTACGGCAAGTAAATTGGTACCCAACATGTCACGCTTTAAAATTGTGCACGCTCGTGCAATGACGTGAAACTGCGGTACTTAAAAATCTCCATGGGTGACACTTTAAACATTTCTACAGGTTAGCAGTGTAAAGTTACAGAGGAGGTCTAGTGCGAGAATTATTGCTCTTGCTCTGACGTTCGTGGCGATACCTCACGTGAAGGTTTGAACACCGTGTACATATGTGGGCATGCCCTACGTATGCATTCACCACTATGTGCGAGCATGTATTTTATTCTTATCACAAGAAATGCATGCATCCCTTGTGATAGAAATAATTAGTGACAGGTCCTGTTTATGGAGAGATATGGGGTCAATAAGACCCCGCATCTCTCCTCTACAATGTAAAGCATTAGATCAAAGGAAAAAAAAAACAAAAAACAAAACATTGATCTAGTGCTTTAAAAAAAAAAAAAAAAAAAAGGCCGGAATGGGAAGTGACATCACTCCGGTCCTCCAAAGGCATAGAGATGAGTGGTGACCAAACTTTCCTTTATTCATCTCTATGCCCAGCACCGGGATCGATGATTTCTCGGGTAAGGCTGAGAACTACCGAGCGGCAGCCAGTGCTGGCGAGGGGCGGGCGGCGAAGGGCGGGGTTTTTCAGCACCTGTTTCGGTGCTTTTTCTTCCCATTTTGGCCAACGGCTGAAAGGGGTGTCTTTGGCAGAAACGTTTCAGCCAATGAAATTTCAATGCATCCCTAATCTCCTATGAATAGAAATAAGGATGTGTTACGATAGTGTCGGGACAAATATTTGTTCCTAGAATGCGCCCTCTATGGGCAGGTCAAACATCACATTAGTAGAAGCACCCATCATACAGCATGCACCAGGAATGGAACTTATCAAGGCCTAAAAGGGCTATACATATAATATTAAAAAGGTATAGGTGCTCCTATTCTTTAAAAAAAGTGGGGGGTGCCTCGAAGGCACTACTGCACACTCAATGTCCATTAGGATATAGTCGGCTCAATTCCAACAGAAAGAAAGGTGACATTAGAAAGAGAGGAAAGAAGAGAAAGAAAAGAAAGAGGGGAGGGTTTCCCAGTAGCTAACCTTATTCTTTCAATGACATTGTTGACATTAGTGGGCAAGAAACAAAAGCCATACTACACTGAAAAGGCTAGGTAAATAGTTCACGAGTCCCATGATAAAAGTGTAAAACATAATATGCCTTGCCTGCAATCTCAAAGCAGTTACTCAGTAAGATGACATGCTTGGTTTTGCCTGTCCTGTCTGACCAGTGACCAAACACAGGACCGGATAATAATTCAGTTAGACTGAAGGCAGACAGAACAAGACCCAGGAAGAAAGGTTGTGCATCTAATGTTTGCAGGTACATCCAGACAGTGGGCAGGATCACAGCTAGAAGAGAAAAACAAAAACATGAAATCAATTCTTTATACAGTACACTTCCATATAAAAGTTAATAAGTCTCCAAGCAGATGTCATTTTTAATTATCAAAGCAACGTTTGCCATACACTAAACAAAATGTATACATGGGGAATTTACAGGTAAAAAATCAATGAGCATTATGTAACCATGTGCCTAAATGTATATTTGCCCAAAATACAGTTTCTTTTTCACTTGTACCTTTAATGAACAGAATATCTCGGAATATAAAAATGGGATTTTTGTATCCACCATGAAATACTTATCTTGGAGTTCACTGAAGAACATAGGATTCAGAGACTATTTAGTTATACTTCTGCCTATAGGAGGATTTGGATGCTGGCAAACAAAAAACCCTTCCTCTACCAGCATGCATCAGTTTTGAAGAAGAGCAAAACAAAAACACGATCATAGACACAGTGGGATGTGAACTGAGTCCCTGGATGAACTCCAAGAAAAAAGGATTTTATGATAAGAAAAGCACTGAGATCTGATCCTTCATGGTACTCAGTACTAATTGCGGAGTGCTGCCTAAATGTAGAAAAAGGCAGGTTTCATCCCACAGAATATTATCTTAAAAAGCTTTTTTCCTTGCATTAAAGTTATTAAATTACTTAACCCACAACAGTAAAATCAGTCTGTATATACAGTAAATCATGCTTGTTATACTCACTGTGGAACCGAAGGGGCTAATCCTCTGCATTGTGTAAAAAGGCTGTTTGATCCTTTCTTCTCTGCCCCACCTCTTGTTGAAATGACCACCTGATACAGCCTGAATCCATAGTCACATGCACATGCTCAGTTTGGTGTGTATTGCTAGAGAGGTTTGTTTGTTTTTCTTGGGAGAGTGCATGTGATCAGCGAAGGGCCAATCAGCACTGTCCAGACAGAAAGTCAGGGGTTTCACATCCTCCTAGAGCAGAATGAAAACTCCTCCTACAAGCTTTAACCAGTGCTCTGCTGAAGTCACAAGATATAGTGAATGCAGGGTCCTGGGTTTAGTATCACTTTAAGTGAAGTATGTGTTCCATGTGTGATGGTAGACCTTGCAGGAAGTGAACTTCCTGACTCTTAACTTCATGAAGATCACCAGTTTAGAGAGACTCCAGTCCTAAAAACGTGAGCTCCAACAGCAATGCCGCTAAAGCCAGTGACTGTGAATCAGGATGGTAAACTGGTCCTTGGGACAGAAGATTCTGATAAACTGACAAAGCCCATGGAGTATCTGTCAGGAGTCTGATAAACTCAGATTGCCACATCTGCCTGGACCAATCCAAACCTAGGAGTATTACTGGTTTCAATCCTGCACAGCAGATGCAGAAGGAGTTTTAGGGGAAGTAAGGTGTACATCAGGATGTACTTATCCCATACAGCCGCCAGAGCATCCACTGGAATAGAATTTCTGTACCTGTAGTCAATCCTATGCAGTTTGTTGTTGAATCTTCAGGCCAGGATGTCCACATCCAGCATCCCCAGCAGGACCTAAAACACCTCTGAGTGCAGGACCCATTCACCCAGGCTCAGGAAGTCTGCCTATCAATTGTCCACTCATGGGAGTTCAAAACGGCAGCTGGTAAAGGCTGGGAGGTAATCTTTAGGCCAAGAGATAATACTGTCTACTTCTCTTGCCATAGAAAGATGTCTAGGTTAATGTTCCGGCATTGTCCTACTGGATCCTGATCAGATGATCCTACACTCAGGATGACCAGCGCTGTATGGACAACCAAATTACACAGAGTCTCTCAGGGTATCATTCATTGTAGGGATTTTCCAAGAGTTTAGAGGGGCCAATTTACCCATCTCCAAAGCTGGATTCCTGAGCCACCAGGTCAGATGCAACCTAGTCTTCGGTATCAGGCAAATTAGTTTGTCCAAGAATTAACCAATTTGTCCTCCAATGACAGGATGCTGAGTTGTAAAGTTTTAAAGTGGAACAGAGCAAATGGGATTGCCTTGAATGAGGCTTCCATCAGCCTCAGGACTTTCATGCAGAAGCAAAGATCTGGGGGACTCTTGAACTGATTAGTCTACGTCTGGGAGTGAACAGTTTGAAGTTTCTCTTGGGAAACAAGAAATCTTGAACTGTGTCTAGGATAAAACCCGGATACTCCAAGTGATGACTTGGCCTTAACACTGACATTTTAAGATTCAGAATTCAACCAAACCTTTTTAAAGGTCTGAACAGTCGACACCACATTGTTGGTCAGGGCTTATATCGACTGCTCCTTCAACAGAAAGTTATTCATATATTCCACAATGGAGATGCTTTGGGAGGGTAACAAAACAAGCAGAGGGAGAGTAACAAAACAAGCACAGGGGCCAAACTCTTGTTAAACACTGAGGGAGGCAGAACACAGGTTAAATGGCAGGGCCATGAACTGGAAGAGCTGGAGACCACAGCCAAGCATAGGAAGCACTGAAAAAATGGGAACATGCAAGTATGCATGCTTGATGTCCACAGAGACCAAAAAGTCCCCCTGATGGAGGGAAGCTGACAGACTTGGTGGACTGCAGAATTTTAGGGCCTTGAGATTCAAAAATGGGGTGTATACCCCCTTCTGGTCTTGGAACTGTGAATAGCAAAAATGTTGAAGAAAAACTAATGAAACCTTTCTTGGCCATATTTTTTTGGAAACTTGGTTGATAACCCCTTGATCTACAAGACCTGTAAGGACTGCACAGAAACCTGCTGATCAGTGCTTTGCCAAACACTGCCTGCCTTGTGTAGACCTGTCATCCTCGAATGGCCAGTGACGTCGTAGCCCCTCCCCTACGCGTTACACCGCGTGACTGCAATCACAACCCCCTGATGAAGCCGCGTGACCAGCGGTGTAATGCGTAGGGGAGGGGCTACGACGTCACTGGCCATTCGAGGACGACAGGTCTACACAAGGCAGGGAGTGTTTGCAACAAACATCAGTCCCATTGAGTGGACAAAAAGCGTTATTAGCCTGTTACAGGCTAATCTGGAGGTGAGCGCACATCTTACACTCATTAAGGAAGTCACCTGGAATTACTGATTAGATTTGAATCACTGGGAAAAGTCACAAAATTGTTGGTGATATAAAAGTGTTTTTTACAATATTTAAATGTGAGTGCTACTGATACTTAAATAAAGCACTGTTTTTTAAAAAAGATAAAGCACTATTTTTGGTAATTTTCTTTCCACTGAGGGCACCTGCCAAGGAAAGGAAAGCTGGAGATAAGCAGTATAAGAGTAAGATCCCAGCAGGAGTAGGAGACGGGAAGCAGCCTGAGAGGGACCCACCACTCTTCATATGGTGCAATAAACATCAGTCCCATTGAGTGGACAAAAAGCGTTATTAGCCTGTTACAGGCTAATCTGGAGGTGAGCGCACATCTTATACTCACTAAGGAAGTCACCTGGAATTATTGATTTGATTCACTGGGAAAAGTCACATATATTTTTTTCATTGAAGACTGATCAATTTTTATATATATTATATTTTTTATATTAAATATTTTTTTTTTATGATGAGCACAATGGGATGACATTTTGATTTCATACGATTTTCTGTTTTTCACAAGTTTATTAATATTGATTTTTTTTTATATATTTATTGGAAATTTGTATTGATTTACTATGCTTGATACAGCTAAGCAAGACTTCATGGAGTGCAGTGTCTGGTTAGCCCCACAATTATCTAGTCCAGCAGGTTCTGGGTGTGGCCTCTAAGCTATTGCTGAGGATACGCTTGTCTGGATAGCTGCATACAAAAATCTACTAAAATAGTCTGTAGAAGAATCTTGGGTGAAGCAATGCAGCAGAAATAGTAACATTTTTCTAAGTAAAGAACATGCATCCTGTGATGAACACGGCCGTCCTACCATTGCTCTTTTTACCAACTTGTGACAAAAGACTGGTCTACCTCACACCACACTATCACTTGCAACAATGACACTCTCAGTCACACCCTGCACACAGATTTTCCAGCTAGCGGAACCACAATCTAAGTGCCAACACACAGAGTGGTTGTCACTGGGTTAAGTTAACTAAGCAATTAAATTTTAAAACTGCCACCACCTGCTTTACCAAAAATCAGTTACAGTAAATCTCACAAGATTAGCAATTACAATTATGAAAAATAAACATCTTTATATACACTGTCACCACAGACACATATATTCAGAGGATTATGCTACTGTAGCACTCTTCAAGAGACAGGGATTATTTTAGCTTGCATTAGCGCATTTAGACAGTTTCAGTTCTTCACAAAATATAGTTTAATAATGAAAAGGATAAAGTGGTGCAAATAATGGTGTTATTGGCTCTCATAACTTGACAGATGTTCCTTGGTTGATGGTACACGTGAGCTGTCCACTTTTGGAGCAGTCTCTTTTCCTCTGATATCAAGGGGGTGTTGTCAGAGACCATCTGACCAATTAAGTGGCTGAGGGGTAGCCATGGGGGTGTCACACACAGTTTTATATGAATATTAAAATCTTCCAAAATGTACAGGTTGCATTCTGGAAACTTTGGCATTGAATTTTGTGTCCAGGGATACTAAACACAGGATATCTCAGAAAGGATTCCACCCAGGAGGTATCTGACTGCTATCTTACCTTCTGTATAGTATAGCTTAGTTATGTATGATCTTGATTTGTCTGATATGATAGTCCCAATTCAAATATTTACTAAATTTTGATGTGTCTTGGTCTTGTCTGATTTCATCCATTGTGTGTAGTTGTTAAAATTTTGAGTTGGGCAGGGAATCTCTGAAAAGGCAAGCCTGATCCCCATTTTATGGCACGCTTTGTGTTCCTGGTGCTTTAATTGCTCTACAAACCAAGGGTGACAGAACTGAAAGATTTTGTCAGTTTTACAATAGGTCAGAGGGAAGTGTTAAACTGTAGATTTCTTTATGGTAAGCAGAAATTACCAGACATTCTTCCAGAACTTCAATTAGCTGTTTACAGCCCTGCAAAGGCCTGTGTGCTGGTGTCTCCTGTTCCTAAGTTTAGATAACAGGCTCTTTGAAATGTTATCAAGTTAAGGCTATGGAGTCTATGAATTGAAGGTGAAGGAAGGAGGCATGATCACTGTGCTATGCCTTCTCAGGACATGAAAAAAATGGATGTTGCATACAGCTTTCATGTGTCTAATGTGCATAACTATTACACCTCCATCCACCTAAAACATTAGCAAGAAACTGGGGCATTCTGGGAGTGGGAGGGATCATAGTGGACTGTTCTTTTTGATTGCCAGTGTCCAAATTCTCTTTTAGATGGCAGCATAACCCAATAGTCTCTGAATCCTGTGCTTCTTAATGAACAAGAAATAAAGTGTGTGGCCAACGTATAATATTTTTAAATATATATATATACATACATATACATATACACACACACACACACACACACACACACACATATATATATACACATACACACATATATATGTATACACATATTCCTTTTAGTCATTTCATTCATTACTAGAAAGTCTACAGTAAAGTAATATGTATTACTATGTCATTACTGACCATATTCAATGCCACTGAGCAAAAAGATGAATCCAATAACAACATGTGTACGCTTTTGTTTTTTCTGGAGCGCATCTGTTTGTAGAAAGAAAAAGAATAGTAATCAATATCATACATTTGCCTGGTCACAGTCATCAAAAAACAAGTGAGACATTGAGTCTTATTCATTACAGCTGAACTCCAGGGTGAAACGACCAATTAATGTACTGTATATTAACCATGTATTTTAAATGCAACTGGTACAAGTACCTAAATTTGCCATGGTCTCAAATTCGTTGGACAGTAACCTAGAAGGAGGATTGGAACTGGAGCATGACAAGGGACCTGCTAACAGCAGGACAGAACAGAGCTCATCACTCTGCTGCTGCCACATCACCAATATGATCATTGGCTGGGAACTGTAAGGCGACATCTGCTTTGCTTGACTGCAACGAAAAAAATATTTCACCAAGCTGTCTCTGATGCCAAACTATTTCCATATAAAGTAATTTGCGGTTTTCCCGGAGTCCAGCTTTGAAACCAAAGGAAAATGACAATATAGGTGGAAATGTTATCCACAGCAACCAACTAGTATTTCATTTTTCAATAAAATAAAAAGTGAAACCTTATTGATTAATATTAGCAATATTGTTCTTTTTTTATTCGTCTAGGTTTAATGAATGACTTGGGGTATGAGGGAATAAAGGGGACTTAATTTTGAATATATAAAAACGAATATAAGATCAGCCGTGATACCCTTTCACAGCCCGCACTACCTTTGGCCACCACCAGATGAAGACTCCACTCCAATCCAGCTGGTCGACCACACACTGGCAGATACAAATCTTATATACAAGCTGATGCACTGATTAGAGTTGAGGACCAGCTTAGTAATTACACACCCTTCTAAGGTCCCTCCAGCTATCCCACAGCTTGAACTCCAATGTTAATCACTCTTCCACTGTACCCACACCAGACACACCACAAAAGGTAGCCTGCCACCACCCAACAGTTTATCCGCAGAACGGTCTGCTGGGACACCCCACACACACAGATCTCCGTCTGGCAGATCTGTTACCTTTTACAATCTGCACGCAATCTGCCCACACACAGTGCAATTGCATACAGATTGGCAATGAGCTTGACCGAGCGTTTAAAGGCACTAAAATACAATACAATCTAATCTTCTCCAATCTAATCTCTCCGAAGATATGAGCACGTGCCTAAATACACAGAAGTCACTAATTAATTTTAAGATTTAATTTCCCGAAAGTGGGCAATGCATAAAATATGTACAAAATATAAAAGGTTACAAAAAATACAAGAAGACACACAAATGACTATTCACTATAAAATAAAAAGGGAATAAAAAACAGAGATAAAACTTTTACCAATATCTATCCTGCGACTGGAGCAAGTCAGGGAGAAATAGCAATCCGTTGGTCGATCGAACCAGCTCCATACGAATCGCAAATCCCCCAATGCCCGGGTACTCCATTTATGGGGATATGGACGTAGGCGGGACATTAGTCCTCAGCCAACTGACCATGAGGGCTGCCCCTGTACCTGCCCAAAGGATGTTCTGGGTGCTGACCTGCCCAAGTTCAACCGGACTAAGACTGGCTTGAAACACCAAGTCGGGGATTGGATTTCCTAAACCAGCGCATCGGCCCGATCGCAACACAGTACCAATCACCATTCGACTGTCACGATCTAGCGCCACTTAGCCATTTCCTGCATTTTCTTGGCCTTCTACCTAATCCACAAATATGATTTTTAGGTGTCGATGTGGCGCACAGAATGCCCTACAAGAAGGGAGCATGTTCATCTCTCTGCAACTAATATTTTAGCTTTTATGAGAGATTAAACATACCCTTTTGATGTATGTAGACACTTTTAGCTCCCCAGACAGATCAGAGACCTCCTGCTGTCATGAAGCCGAAATGTCTGGAGCCACTTCCTTTAAACCAGTTTCACCAGAAGGTGACAAAACCTTATTTAGCACTGTAGGTGTCACATCCAGGAAGCCGGGCTTTTCGGGTGCTAATTGATGAGCCTCTGTGTCTGAGTACCTCATTTCCCCCAATGACAAGGACTGAATATTAATTTAATCTACTCAAATCTGTACATTTATGTCACATGTACGTTACATCATGTCACATGTATGTTACAGTACCTATTCAAGCAGGGAACACATTCAAACAGTGGAGCCAGAGGTTCATTAGTTCTACAGGCTCGGGGCTCCTAGAGTGTGCCCTGATTGTTTTGTGGGGTTTTTTTTTCATTTAACAAAATATTGTAGTACAGACATCACACACAGCAATGGCCAACATATGACCAAATTGAGGCTCCAACATACAGCAGCAAAGGCATGACACCATCCATAAAGTATTCACCTGAATAATTTGTAAGAGGAAACCTGAGCCAATCTAAAGACCTGTTTTAACAGAATCAAGCACACCAGCTAACTAGGGGTTGGTCACTCCAAACAGCACGGTGTACGTTACCTCCTGCACCCTTTTTGTGGTTTTTAAAAAAAAAAAAAAAAAGACACAAAAAAGGGGGAGGAGAGATTGGAAAACGGAACAAGGGACAGGAAAAGGGGAAGCGGAATGTTTTTTTTACAGGCCCCCTTGACACGTATTAATACAGAAAATTACTGTAGGCTACTGTCAGACTTATTTTAGCGTCATGTTCTCGCATGACAACCTATTATAAAAGGCAGATTTCTGGTACACTAATAGTTTCTTTCAAATATAGCATAACAGGTAAGTGAACAGAAGGGTGGGTGAATTTTCAATATTTTCTTGCTGATGATTTATTCAACCCACGCTCATAGTTTAATCTGAACATAAAAAGCTACACTTGTGTGTTGAGAGATACTAGCGTCGGAGGCGAGGGTATGCTATGACACCACAGCTATCAAAGCTGAAGCTAATTGCTATAATATTTATTACAGGTCATTCATACTTTGATAAATGAATACCACGTTTCACTTTTAAATGGGGATATTGAAGATAGAACGATCTGCTTAATGAGTCACTCTGTAGGTTGGCCCAGGTGATACAACATTTCCAAAGATTATTAGCCCTGCATGGACACACTACATGACCTCTAATAAAGGCCAAGATGTAAGAGAAAATGGCAGTGGCTCCCAATTCTATTTAATGATGCAGATCTCAGTTTATCAGCAACCTCTATAATATACAGTGGGTAAGATTAGTATTGAACACATCACCATTTTTCTCAGCAAATAGATTTCTAAAGGTGTATTGACAAGACATTTTCACCAGAAGTCAAGAACAACCCATGTAATCCATACATACAGTCAGGTCCATAAATATTGGGACATTGACACAATTCTAACATTTTTGGCTCTATACACCACCACAATGGATTTGAAATGAAACAAACAAGATGTGCTTTAACTGCAGACGGTCAGCTTTAATTTGAGGGTATTTACATCCAAATCAGGTGAACAGTGTAGGAACTACAACAGTTTGCATATGTGCCTCCCACTTGTTAAGGGACCAAAAGTAATGGGACAATTGGCTTCTCAGCTGTTCCATGGTCAGGTGTGTGTTATTCCCTCATTATCCCAATTACGAGCAGATAAAAGGTCCAGAGTTCATTTCAAGTGTCCTGTTTGCATTTGGAATCTGTTGCTGTCAACTCTCAAGATGAGATCCAAAGAGCTGTCACTATCAGTGAAGTAAGCCATCATTAGGCTGAAAAAAAACAAAACAAACCCATCAGAGAGATAGCAAAAACATTAGGCGTGGCCAAAACAACTGTTTGGAACATTCTTAAAAAGAAGGAACGCACCGGTGAGCTCAGCAACACCAAAAGACCCGGAAGACCACGGAAAACAACTGTGGTGGATGACCGAAGAATTCTTTCCCTGGTGAAGAAAACACCCTTCACAACAGTTGGCCAGATCAAGAATACTCTCCAGGAGGTAGGTGTATGTGTGTCAAAGTCAACAATCAAGAGAAGACTTCACCAGAGTGAATACAGAGGGTTCACCACAAGATGTAAACCAGCCTCAAAAACAGGAAGGCCAGATTAGAGTTTGCCAAACGACATCTAAAAAAGCCTTCACAGTTCTGGAACAACATCCTATGGACAGATGAGAACAAGATCAACTTGTACCAGAGTGATGGGAAGAGACGAGTATGGAGAAGGAAAGGAACTGCTCATGATCCTAAGCATACCACCTCATCAGTGAAGCATGGTGGTGGTAGTGTCATGGCGTGGGCATGTATGGCTGCCAATGGAACTGGTTCTCTTGTATTTATTGATGATGTGACTGCTGACAAAAGTAGCAGGATGAATTCTGAAGTGTTTCGGGCAATATTATCTGCTCATATTCAGCCAAATGCTTCAGAACTCATTGGACGCCGCTTCACAGTGCAGATGGACAATGACCCAAAGCATACTGCAAAAGCAACCAAAGAGTTTAAGGGAAAGAAGTGGAATGTTATGCAATGGCCCAGTCAATCACCTGACCTGAATCCGATTGAGCATGCATTTCACTTGCTGAAGACAAAACTGAAGGGAAAATGCCCCAAGAACAAGCAGGAACTGAAGACAGTTGCAGTAGAGGCCTGGCAGAGCATCACCAGGGATGAAACCCAGCGTCTGGTGATGTCTATGCGTTCCAGACTTCAGGCTGTAATTGACTGCAAAGGATTTGCAACCAAGTATTAAAAAGTGAAAGTTTGATTTTTTTACGTCATCCTGTGCTGGCCAATGAGGATGGCTGAAAGGCAGTACACAGGAGAAGTCTTCCTGATGACGAAACACGTTGGGTGGAGCTTCGGCATGTGACGTCACCACATTCTGGAGGGACGGCGGCCATATTTTCGGTTTGAAACATTTCACATTCAGTGCTGGTTGTTTTAATGATTGATGCATGTGGATCCTTTATTAAATTGGTCAAAATTTTACTGAATTACTACACTATGAGTTGCTTTTGTTTTAAATCCCTTATTTGATTATCGGATGGGAGTTTTTCCTGCTTTTGAAGATCTTTAAAGAGGAAAACTATTCATCATCTTAAAAGGAGGATTCCTTGTGAAAAAGTACTTGCTTCA